TCAGAAGGCGTGTGCCGTGGCCATCCTCTGAGGCTGAGAGAGTGTGACATGCACAAGGTCACGCAGTGGGTTTCCATGGCTGAGCTGGGAACTGAACCCCGCTCTCCAGAGTCATTGTCCAACTCTCAAACCACTATGCTGCACTGGGTCTTATGTGTGACTTGTCCATGGTCACCCAGTGGGTTTCCATGGCTGGGCAGGGATTTGAACCCAGGTCTCCAGAACCATAGTTCTTATTCTTCTGAGCTAGGGTCCTGGATCTGTTCTTACCATGAAGGTCCCATGGATTCCAGGGGGGGTCAAAGCCATCTTTTGCTTCTGATGCCTCTGGAAATGGAGACCTTGCGGAAGGATTGTGGAATGTGCTTTTTCAAACCAAGGTGGTTTCATCCCCTTTGGAGGTCCCTGACTGAGCAGGGATTCGAACTCTGGTCTCCAGAGTCACAGTCCAATGCTCAAACCACTACGCCATGCTGGGTGCATCTACTCTACAGAAATAATGCAATTTCGCCCCTCTTTTAACAGCCATGGCACCATCCTTGAACCAGGGTTCAAGTCCTGACTCAGTCATATAAACCCACTGGGTGACCTCGGGCAAGTCACACTTTCTCCACCTCAGAGGATGGCCATGGCAAAGCCTGTTTTGGGACTAGAGGCCCATTGACACAACAGAATTTATAGTGCTGTCATTCCACTTTAACAGAGCCAGTAGCGATTTGAGTGTTGGACTATGACTGGAGACCAGGGTTCCAATCCCAGCTCAAACTTGTAAACCCACTGGGTGACCTTGGGGCAAGTCACACTCTCTCTGCCTCAGAGGATGGCAACGGCAAACCCTCCTCTGAAGAAACGCGCCAAGAAAACCCTGCGATAGGTTCGCCATACGTCAAAGATGACTTGGAGGCACGCGGCAGCAACAAACGTCCTATAAAATGGCACATTCGAGGTTCGGTTTTCGGGGTGTCCAGCCAAAAGTGAAATACAAAAGGAAATACAAAAGGAGTGTACACAGCCATATAACCTCATCTGACCTTTTCTTACGCTGTCTGGAAAGAATTTTGTTCATCAGCAGGGAGCCTCGAGGAACCAGGCTTTTTCCTTCTTAATCAGCTACCTTCATGGTTTTTTGGAAAGCGTAGGGAGAAACCCTACTTGAGGATGGTTAAGACAGAGAGACAGAGAGAAATGAAAGGATGGATCAGAGAGAGAGAAAGATGGGTATCCCCAGCAACAGCTCCCTGTGATGTAATAAACAGACCAACCGCTTTTGGAATTGTGATTGTAAAATGTTCCAGGAGACACCAAAGCAAAGTGGCTACTAGTTAAGATGGGTTCTTTTTTAAAAAATATTTTTATTAGTTTATAAATATACATAAAATATAACTTGTTTATAACAAATATTCATCTAATACCTATACACATTTCGATACACTTCTCCTTAGTTCTTCGAAAGTAAGTGCACATTTTTCACCCC